TATTCTTACTGTTTATATTTTTCTGGGGGAAAATGCAAACTTTTAAAGATATGAACTTTAAGATGAATATATGCAATCTAACCCTGTTAGACTGAAAAGGATTTGCATTAAGTTTACATGTCACTTTAGGTAAATTATCATTTTAAGACTTTTTATTATGGAGAATTTTAAACATATATAAAAGTAGACAAAGGTAAAATTTTAAGCTACTAATAAAAAGCACTTCTTGGGAAAATGTTTGTCACACAAAAATGTCACCAATTTTATGACTGTTTTGTGACTATTTCCTCACTTATTCTCTTGTTTTAGTGATTGCACAGGTCACATATGGCAGAAGAAAATAAGACTCTGGTGACGGAGTTTGTCCTCACAGGACTTACAGATCATCCAGGGCTGCAGGTGCCCCTGTTCCTGGTGTTTTTTCTGATCTACCTCATCACCATGGTGGGCAACCTGGGCCTGATTACTCTCATCTGGAAGGACCCCCACCTTCACACCCCCATGTACTTATTCCTTGGCAGTTTAGCCTTTGCAGATGCATGCACTGCATCCTCTGTGACTCCTAAGATGCTTATCAACTTCTTATCTAAGAATCATGTGATATCCCTCTTTGACTGTATGGCCCAGTTTTATTTTTTTGGTTCCAGTGCAACCACAGAATGTTTCCTCCTGGTAGTGATGGCCTATGACCGCTATGTAGCCATATGCAGTCCCTTGTCTTATCCAGTGGTGATGTCTAATAGCCTCTGTACTCAGCTTATCGGTGTTTCATATTTTATTGGTTTTCTGCATTCAGCAATTCATGTAGGTTTGTTAGTTAGATTAATTTTCTGCAGCTCCAATGTCATACATTATTTCTACTGTGAAATTTTACAACTGTTCAAAATTTCCTGCTCTGATCCTACGGTTAATATACTTCTGGTTTTAATCTTTTCAGCTTGTATACAAGGCTTCACTTTTATCACTATCATAATCTCTTACTCCTGTGTCCTCTTTGCCATCCTGAAAAAGAAGTCTGAGAAAGGCAGAAGCAAAGCCTTCTCCACATGCAGCGCCCACCTGCTCTCTGTATCTTTGTTCTATGGCACTCTCTTCTTCATGTATGTGCGTCCTGGGTCTGGAACAGCTGAAGACCAGGACAAAATGTATTCTATATTTTACACCATAATAATTCCTCTGTTAAATCCTTTTATTTACAGCCTGAGGAACAAAGAGGTTATCGGTGCCTTGAGAAGAATAATGAAGAAATAAATAGTTGTCAGACAACTTTCAAACTGTTTCTTCTTTACCTTCTGCTGAAAAAAACCCAAGTCCTACAGGTTAGGGCTGGTGGTCAGGGTGGTCCACGAGCTGTGTGTAAAGAAACCCAGCTTTGTATATGTTTACTTGGATATGTGTCCAGTCACAGTTTGGTGATATTACCTATAACTAGCTTATTTAGAAACATTGCATTCCATTTGTATTTGAGCATTTAGCTTTTGCAAATGAACTATTTTCTAGGGACTTCCAAAATTACAGGTAGTAATTGGCAATTTTACTGTGATATCTGAGAAATACTTATTGAGAAATAACTCTGAGGCTGGCATAGATTGTTAGTTACTTATGTGAATGAGCCCAACTCACCTCTTTAGACCTGCAAGTTAATAAGACTTTGTGATTCTCTGCCATATACAGTAACTCCGGTTGACAGATAAAAATAAAACTCCACATTTTGGTAGAATATATTTCTGAGGAGAAATTTACTGTTCAGTAATAAAAGTTAGAAAAAAGTAAAAATTCTAAAAAAGAAATTGGTGTATCTTACGAAGAAAAATGGAAGCTAGTATGAATTTAAGAGTGGAACATTAACTAACTATAGTTTATATTTGTATCTCCATATACTATTTTAGTCAGGGATATGGAATGTAGAATGATATTGAATAATTTATAAATTTAGGAAAATTTTACTGTAATAAAAAGCAAGTTTGGAGCCTGTCAGTATTAGTAGGAGCTGACCAGGCAAAAGGCAAAAAGATTAGATCAGAGATAAGATGCTGGTTTATTATATAAAGATATGAGTGAAAATTGTGCCAATTAATTACATATATATATATATATATATACACACATACATATATCTGTCTATCTATCTATCTATTCATGTCCCTGAATTGGAAATAATTAGTGGTTGAGAATTTATTGGACAATTTTACATTTACTATATGAACATAAATGATTCAACTTTTTTTCAAAAACAATTATATTCCTTAAGCAATCTTTTGGGTTTTTTTGCATACTTAGGAAAATAATATACAAATGGAATTAAGCTTAAGTTGTTGAAGAATGAAGATATATTTATTGTTCCAGTTATTTGCAAACATATTAGCTTTTGTCTAGTCAATAATACCAATGAATAAGCTAAAGGTTTATTTAAAGATTTAGGCATATGATATTAATAGTTTTATCACTTACATCTATTTATCATATGCACATTATTAGAAAAAGTCAACTTGTTTGTATGGTCTTAAGATTAATTCCAACAGGTCCCAATAACAAAATTCCTTAAAAAACTCCATATAATTAATTTATTGTCTTTTAAAAATTATCTGTATTTGCAGATAATTTTCGCAATATCATGAAGCTTTGAGACTCATCTTGTTAACAGTGTAAGCTAAATCTTAATTTCCTTAACTTTTTTATTTCTGTTTTAGTAAAATACTTTTTCTGTATCTTACTCTTGGTCTTTTTAATATAGTGCCTAAATACTTTTAATTATGTATAAATAAATAATTATTTTCATTTAAATGGTATAATGTTTTATTTTGAGTACCTGTAAAGAAACTATGTTTTATTTTTAAAATTATTTTATGATCTTTATAATTGCACAATAATACAGGATTTATCAGGATTATGTTTAACAAAATCCCAGCTATTATTTTTATTATCATGGAAAGAAAAGGGTAGTTTTTCCTGCAGTTTGAACGCTCCCTAGAGAAGTGACATTTGGACAATCTTGCAATATTAGCTCAAGATGTGAATCAATTCAGATAAATCACTGGTATTGGTCTGAATGCCTGCTGATCTGAAATGTTCCTAGTATATTGTACCGGTTGTCAAGAATGTTTATTACATAACCTGTATATTATGGAAGGCAGCTGTACTAAAAATGGAGGCAATGTAAAAACTCCTAGGTGCTAGGTAACAAGCTACATGAGCTAAGAAGCCTAGATTCTGCTGCACTTCCTTTGTACTTTGATCTGTACTTATATCAGTTTGCATTTAGCGATGAGACTTGGGAAGCTGTATTTGGTGTCCATGGCCTTGGGAATTCTGCTGCTGTTTATGCTGCTGCTTTACCTGTTGTTTATCTTGCTTACAGATAATAAACTTGAGTAATAAATGTGCTAAGTAAACACTGAGTAAGTGTGTTTGATGGTCATTGTACATTTGAAATCTACTCCAGTGATCTTATGATTAAATGAGACTCATGCACAAGGATGTTGGGAGGATCTTTTGAGACTTTGGTGATGGATGATTGCCAATTCATTCTTGGCTTGAAGTAGTGGAAGTTTTTTGAGCCAAATTATGGGGTACACATATTATCCATGGAATTTAGATGAGATAGCTTCAAATCTCTAGGATTAAGCAAATGAATTAATAAAATATGGCTAGAAACATTGCTTGATCCTTATTAATAGCATCAGCGAAATGGAAATTCTACCAGAAGAACACAAAGAAATACACTTGACTTAGAAGAGATGAGACAATATGTAAAATAGATGAGTCATGACAGTTTGCTAGGAACTTGGTAGATGTTATACTTACTGTTCAACTAGAAGTCACTGACTATGACCACTGACTGTCTAACAGGTGGGAAGACAATGCCAGAGGACCATAGAAACTAAAGAATATTGTTAAATAATTCAAGCATCTTGCCAACAGACAAACACTAGAATAATGATCAGGTTTTATCAATCTGGATATTCAGACTGCATGTTCAAGGAGTAATAATTTTAATGATAGAGAATCTATTCAGTCTAAATGGAGAGAATTATATGGCCAGACTAATATAAACTTCGGCACATGTTTCTCATTCTAAATTATGATAACCCATGGTTAAATAAAAATCCAACCAGCTTACCTGGAATTCACATCCAATTCTTTTACATAATGGTAGAGAAAAAAAAACCTCTAGTAGTAGAGTTAGCTAAAAGGTGAAGATCTCTACAAGTAGAACTACAAAAGACTGAGAAAAGAAGTCTTAGATACACAAACAAATGGGAAATATCCCATGCTCATGAAATGTGAAAATCAATACAGTGAAAATGATTTTACTGCCCAAAGCAATCTACAGATTCAGTGCAATTCCTATCAAAATACCAATGTCATTTTCACAGAAGTAGAAGAAAACCATTCTAAAATTCATATGGCATCTCAATAGCCAATGCAATCCTAAGCAAAAGAACCAATCTGGAGCATCACGTTATCTAACTTCAAATTATATTACAAGATAGTTTCTAATAACATGGGAATATATTCTTTGTATTATTTTATTATTGCCATGTTATGTATAAAACACTATAAATTAATAATAGATAGAATAGTCCATATATTTACTGTGACCCTGATAAAGTAAATAGATCTCACATGAAAGACTTGTTGAAAAGACACATTAGTTCAATGGCCTTTAAAAGCTGTTACTTAGGTGAAATCAATTTAAGGAATGTATTCAGTTAATGCTTGGTTTTGGTTCTGTTGGCAAGTAAACAGCTCTTGATTTCCTCCTTTTCTAAAATTAAAGCATGGCTTTTGTTATGCACACCTCCTTGTATTTCAAATAAATATGCCTCTCAAGATATTACTTGCTTTATGAAGAATAAGAATGTATTGCCACTGCTTCATAAAACTGCATATAAGCCCGTGTGAGGGAATTACATTTATAATTAAATTTATACATAATAAAAAATTAGAAAGCTAAAATAACAAATTGTACTACAAATGTATAGTAACAAAACAGCATGGCACTGATATAAAAGCAGACACACAAACCAATGGGATAGAATAGAGAACCTAGAAATAAAGCCAAATGCTGTTAATACAACCAATAGATCATCAACAAAGCAGATACACACACTGGGAAGGACACCGTTTTTGACAAATGGTGCTGGGGATATTGGATAGACATATGCAAAAGAATAAAACTGGATTCTTACTTACCACCACATATAAAAATTAACTCAAGAGTATTAAAGACTTAAATGTAAGACCTGAACAAAAAATATTAGAAAAAACTAGAAAATCTCTTCTGGACATCGATCCAGGCAAAGAATTATGACTAAGACCACTAAAGCAATTGCAACAAAACAAAAATAAATAAATGAGACTTGATTAAATTAAAATTATGCACAGCAAAAGAAATAATCAATAAATAGACAACCTACACAAAGGGAGAAAATATTCTCAAACTACACATTGACAAAGGAATCTGCAAGGACTAGATTCTATCTATTCTATCTAGATTCTATCTAGAATCTACAAGGGACTCAAAAACTCAGCAAGAAAAAAAATAATCCCATTAACAGGTGGGTATACAACATGAAGATATTTTTTCAAGAGACACAAATGGCCAACAAACATGAAAAATGCTCAATATCACTAATCATCAGATAAATGCAAATAAAATCACAATAAGATACCATCTTACGCCAGAGAATGACTATTATTAAAAAGTCAAGGAACAATAAATGTTGGAAAAGGTGGGTGAAAGGAAATGCTTATACACTTTTGGGAATATAAATTAGTAAATCTTCTATGGAGAACATATGGAGGTTTTTCAAAGAACTAAAATTAAACCTACCATTTGATCAGCAATCCTACTACTGGAGATCTACATGAAGAAGAAGAAATCATATAAAAAGACATATGTACTCATATGTTTATGGCAGCACAATTCACAACTGCAAAGATATGGAATCAACCTAAGTTGATAATAGATAAAGCTGATGAGTAGATAAAGAAAATGTGGTATATATACCCCATGGATACTACTCAAGCCATAAAAAAAATAATGTCTTTTGCAGAACTTTGATGGAACTGGAGACTATTATCCTAAGTAAAGTTGCTCAGGAATGGAAAACCAAATACCACATGTTCTTACTTTTAAATGGAAGCTAAACTATGGGGAAGCAGGGAAGTACAGTGTAGAATTAGTGAACATTGGAACTCAAAAGGGGAGAAGGGTGGGAGGGGGCCAGGAATGAAATATTACCCAT